AGCTGAGCAAATTTGATTGTTCGTTTGAGTATTTTCCAAACCGACGAAATATTATTCAGACGAAAGAGTTCCATAATTTTGTATACGGATCAAATCGATTTGAACGAGTCTTTTTTTCTTATGTAAATAAATTTAGCAGCAAGTTCGACAATTTTCTTCAAATATTTGTTCCTTGAACTTTGCCAATCATTGATTTAGTCTTGTCAAATATAATATGAAAAACAAGAGTAGAAAAGCTAATATTTGTATTTCTCTAACTATTATCGTAGATCTCAATTTCTTTTTAATACATAAATTTTGTGTAATCCTGATCACAGAAAAGAGAATCAGTCGATAAGGAAATCAAATTTTGACGATTTTTTTCTCAAGAAACGAATAATCGTGTCATAATTAAATTCTTATGCTACATATAATATGACATCCCTAATAAAACAAAGCGATAACGGCTTCGAGAAAAAGAAAAAAAACTTGTTGTAAGAATTGAAGAAAATCTTTGAAGTTATATGTAATTATAAGAGAAGTTCTCTAGCCATTGATAAATATTCACATATCGTCTTACCTTGCTCAAGAGCGAATGAGAAATCAGAAATAAAAAATGAAGTCTCTTAAGAAGTGAAGTCATCGTTTTCCCAATGTAACTATCAAACTGGTTACAGCATTGACCCATTGGTTTAAAAATCCTAGTTGCGCCGCTGTGAAGAAGTATCAGAACTAGAGACCGAAACCTTGAGGGCGTGAGTGAGGTTGTGGGTGTGATGTTTTGAGTTCATTCAGAACCATATGTACATCCGCACCTGGATTTTTGGATGCGGTGCACGTCTCTGTAGTAGATACTTCAACATTGCTTGCCATTGATTTATTTTAGGGCGATACAATCAAATTTTGTTTATAGATGGATCGACGAGGCAGCAGTGTCCAAGTTCCCAGGAGTCAGGAATTCGTTGGGAATTCGGAACTCAAAAATGAATGAACAGGAATAAGTGATGATAAACCAAAGCATATCAACTTTATGAGGAATTCCAAGGAACTCATGGAAGTCAGGGAGGTCATAGATATGAGAGAAATAAGAGCCTGGACTCAATTCGTTCGGGTTGGATCATCAGTATATCGAGTACTATACTTAATTGGCATGATACCTAATCGTGATAATGGACATAATTGAGTGAGGGCATATCCATTGACATAATATATATATGAGGTCACGGTGGTGAGATGCGCAAATTTTCTGTTCGCTTAAGAATGAGTTGCGATATTTTAGAATGATTGTTTATTATGCTTTGATAAATTTATACATTGAATAAAAGTGGAATTTGGGAGCGTCGGATCGTTCGGCTTCAGCGATAGTGGGATATAGGAGAATCATGATTGATGTTATCATTCAGTTTTCAAGTGACAAAAATATTCTATCTATGAAACGTTTCTGGGTGCTTATGTGGGTAGATAAATCAGGTTATGGGTGTAGGTGTGGGTGTAGGTGTGGGTGTGTACCATTTCTTTCCATTAGCAAATACAACCACACCCTGATCCCTTGTGCTTTTGGCTCGATAAATTAAAAATCGAAACATGTAAATATAGTTTGGTTGGTTTATCGTATTCCTGTATTAATCCCGCTTATATCAATAGAGCATGATATTTGACTTATTCTGATTCATAAGAAAATGACTTTCATCTAACAGTCGGGAGTATATCATTATTGTTACTCAAATGTTGTATTGAAAACACGGTAATTCATCATTTTGTTGTTCGAAACCTTACTAGTGCCTATTTCGATTTACATAAGCATCTGAAGGGACAGCTTCCATCAGGGGAGAGCGTATCTCCAGCTTCTGAAAGCTTGAGGATGTAACGTCTTCTCATTTAACGAAAATTTCTGACGAAAGTTCGTCCATTTCGAAGAAATATTGTAAGTTTCTTCGACTTTGGAAAATTTTATAATTATGACTTTATCTTATGTTAATTAACGATCACTTTCATCAAAATATCAGAAATTAAGGTAAATATATGGGAAGATATTTCCTGACCAGTTCTATCAGAATCAATAACAACTTTTTCCATAGTTTATTTCTGTTGAAGAGTTTTTGAAATATTCGTTTTCGTACTCGAAACAAAAACTAAGAGATTTCTAGAACTATGGTCGTTTTCGACTCAAATATCCATATTATTACAATGATTCAAAGTTAAGATGCTTGATATATCGAAACAGCGAGAAAAAAACTTTCACTAGCAAAACATCGCTGTTGAAATTAATTTGATTCTTCTAACGTTATAACAAAATCATATTTTTTACTGTCGAGATAGACAGGTTTCATTAACATCCAGATGCTTTCGCAGGTTATCGTGACCAATTTTTATCGAGTCGAGGGAGTTTCACCTACAAAGCGCCTGTAGTGTGTGGTAACATATCTATCTGTCTGTCTGATAGAAGAAGCAGGTTCAATTTCAGCCGGAGAAATAAATTCTTTCTCTTTCTTATCTTTTTTCATTCATGGCTTCTTCGTAGTTATTCCTGCATGCCAGACAAGTTTCCATGAGTCACACGCCAACAGAGTACATAGTTAAACGTTTTTAGACTCTATCTTGAAGTCCTATAGTGATAATCCGTACTAAATATAGATACTATTCATGTGTCTGTCTTTCCACAAAACCACTACAAGTAATAGAAGACAATACAACAAACGATTTCAACAAAAGCAAACCAGACGTCATCAACGAGAACCCCTAGTTCTCAAAACAATCAGATTTCTCGACATTCACAATTGATGACACATCAGTAGTAATCAGAGACTGAAACTGAACCGAAGAAAGTCAGTTCGATTTGGTCTCTGGTAGATACTACATCAGTGCCTGTGGTGTAGTGGTAACATAGCTGTTTGTCGGACAGCAGCCGCGGGTTCGATCCCTGACTGGCACGTAAAATTTTTCCTGCTTGCCTTATGCACCGATGAAATGATGTAAGTACACAGACGGATTGCGAAACTTGTTTTTTTCTATATGAAACAGTACCGAAGGAGGGTAATAAAATGACGAAAAGTTTTGTTTGTATCTTTTGATATGCAATTCTCACTGAGGAAAAAGAAGTTTATTTAGAGAAAGGATGCACACTAAAATAAAGAACATTTGAGTTTTACGATCATACCACAGGAATTTGTTGAGTACCAATGCAACAATTGTTCCGTATCTTTATATGAGTACGAGCGTCTTTAATGAGAAAATGAGTTTGTTTCTAATATTAATCTATCAAGAGAAGAATGATATATATTAAATTACACGTTGTATAGCAGTCGCAACGTTTCTCATAGTACCTTTTTCTTCGTAAAAATCGTATTTTGTACAAAAAAAGATAAAATAAGAATCTGAAATCATGTTCATGAATACTTAAGTTTTTAAATATTAAATACTATTATCACACTTAATAAAATTCATTAATTAAAATGTTTTTTTAAATTTTACAACCAAAAAATCATAAATCGATGCTTTATATTCTACAGGTTCTAAACTGATTGTGCCAAGAAAAGGAAATGTTAAACAATATTCGAAATACAAATAAATAATAGAATGATTTTTTCTTAACAGACAAGACGAGAGTCATTAGGAGTATCGCCCTATCTATACAAGCAAAGAATTAAAAAAATTGTTATCCTTTAAAGAGTAAAAGTAATCGAATCTTTCTCTTTGTTTTCAGAATAAAGCGAATATAAAAATAATCAAATGTTCTTTTTTTCTATTAGAGAAACACAAAAGATTGACATAGTAAGTGGGTAAACAATAATCGTTGTCTCGAGCTTCATGCCCACTTTTGGGTGGTCACTTACTATGAATTGACTTACTGAAAGTCGAATGTGAAATCGTGATAGAAAATTTGTATACCTCCTTTAGCTTGTCTTTATCTGTATGTTTTCGATAAAATCGCCAAAATTACTAATCTTAATCAGAATAGTAATTGCCGTATCTTTGTTGTTGAATGGAAATATTACCATATATATAACACTTCTAAAAACACTAATAGAATTCTTTCTGATGAAAACAAAAACAAAATTGTGAAATTCGTATTTGATAAGAAATATAATCATCAAGAATTAATTTGAGGACAATGGTGCGACACAATAGTGTTCTGATGATGATTCATCGAAGGATAAAAGAGGATAAACATTTGTAATGCAATGCCATTTTAACCTGGTAAATCGAAGACAATAAAATTAAGAAAATCCTTCTTTTTATATTTAAACTAAAATTATGCAGTCGAAGATAGTTGATGAAGAATCTCAAATAAGTTCATTAGATCCCAATGCTTTTCATACTTTATGTGAAACACAAATTGGCAACTGTACTATGTTAGAAACTATCTATTAGAAAAACACCTACACTTAGGGTCAAACAGTAAGTACATGACTAGCAATTTCTCAAGTATATTCTAAATAGTCCACAAGACGATGCTTATATTAGCAATTGCTAATTTATATAACCACTAAATGATATGCGGTAGAGATGAGCAGAGTAGACTTTCTGTGAATGCTGTCTTAAAGTCGGTAAAGTATCTCACTCGAATCGGATACTCCTTTCATACATGCAACTCATGTCTTGCATGATCGAAATTCAACGGATCCGTCAACCTCTTATTCTGACGTAGGCACAGCTGAATAGTAACGATGATTCTCTATTTAGTTTTGTTAGACGCAAAATTTTGTTTTCTCTCCAATGGTATGAGTTCCGGATAGTGTTGTCGTCGAAAAACCTTGTTGTTGGATATGCATCTGAATGCGGATGTAAAAAGCATTGTCAAACAATCTTTCTTCTGTTGGAGAGCTGTCTGCAACAGTCTGTTTTTTTTATCAATAATTCCGCCTTAAATCAATGTCATCACATGACAAGTAACAATATTTTATTATTGAATAAAAAGTATTTGAGTCTATATTATATAACAAGAGACAAAAGGAAAAACAAGTATTTATTTATGAGAATTGTCTTTCAGTATCTATTTTTTATAATTGATGAACCGGGAATTAAAGCCAGAGACGAAATCTTGATAAATCAAAATCTATTCGACTATTAGGAAAGCGCCTTTGAGCCATTAAACGATAAGATTCAACTTTCTCATGATCAATTTCGCCATGAATATCCAGAAATGTCAATTCTTTCAAGTTTTTGACCAGTTGGCAAAGATCTTGTTTGAAAACTGTTGTATGCCGGCCTAAAAAAGCATTGATATCATTTATTTAATGTCTCCTAAAAAATAATTGTATTGATACATACTAATTGATTCGGATGTTCTCAGAGACTTCAACCATCGATAGGTAAAACGTCCACTGTCATCTTTCTTCTTGCCATAATCCGGTCGAACTTACATAGAAAAAGAAACAGTAAGACAACAAGAGGTTGTGGAAGAAACAAAGAGTTCAATAAAAATATCATCATTTTCTTTGTTCTTTATTGACTAGAGTATATCATTTTGAGAGATTCCTTCTATTCACAGACAATGTTGTAGTTTTCTTCAGGGATATTGGAAAGCTTAATTTTCATATTTCGATGTACAGACAAATCTCTTCGACAATAGCTTATTTTGAAGATTGTGAATCGTCTGAGTGCTACACAAAAGTATCAAAATCTATTGGTGTATGTATGCTATCGTCCGACATCGGCCGTATTGCAAGAACTAATCTCATATGAAATTGAAATTTCTTGCTATTTTTAAGAGACAGAATGAAATTGTTATGATAAATAATCTAACAATATAATGACTTAGCATCAATTGTAACAAAACCTTGTTTGCTCAGAATATTTTATTAGATCTTGAAAATTTTCATAACTGTTTGCCGATCTTTATGACCGAGATATCGGACTCGTATGCTTTGTTTTGGTCAACATTAACTGTTTAAATATATATTCGGTTGAAAAACTTTCCTAAATTATCGTTCTGTTCTAACATTACCGATAGCAAGACGATGTACTTTTCATCGTGAACATATTAAGTTTTAAAGGGTGTGGGTGTATTGATTATCGAAACCAACACCTACACCCCACACCCAAATCAGAATATATCTGTCTGATTCGTAAATTAGAAAAAGACACGAACTACAATCAGATTTGTTTATTTGCAGTAAACTTACTAGATGTCCACGGAAAATCATCTGGTCGCCAAATATGTAATGTTTGTAAATAAGGCATATATTGTTTAAGAAAAGGTACCAGCTGTTTACACATAAGAATTTCTCTTTTGGAACTATTATGGCAACTTGGAAGACTAAACTCAACATATCGAACAGTACTTAATGTATTTGCTCCTAGTTCTTCAGATGCCTAAATAGAAAACAAAAAAGAAAATTTAATAATAATAAAATATTTGAATTGATCTCATCAAATCAAATTGCTCGGATAAAAATAAGATGAAAAGAGAATATAACAAAAATTTACTTGCAGATTAAACATTAAACTTTTTGTCATTTAGTCTTATCAATAGAATATGAAAATGACAGATATATTTTATCTATAAATCACATAACAAATTCGTCTTACGTAACTAAATCTAGTTTATGCATCTATTATAGAAACAAATCATATTTTATTATTTGTGATACTCGTTAACATATTGTTAGTTCTTTCTTTTATCTTCGAATCAATTAGAGAGAACTATTGGTACTACTTTAAAATTAAAAACGAATCTACTTTTTTTGAATTCTTAATTGAAACTACTGTAGAAATATTTCTTGTAAGGCTCTAAATAAATAAAACTCTCAATGAAACACTTTTAAAATGCTTCATACCTAAATACCATAACTACGGATATGAAATGATTTCTATGAGCTCATGTCTTCGCATAAAATTGTTTCATAAACAAGCACAAAAAAGATTATTCTTTGTTTTTTCTAAGACATACAGATTTCTTAAATGACTGAACTATATGGTTGTAAAAAAGAAGCTTCTTCATCTTCTATAAATCTTGTATGCAATTATGATAAAAAAGGCATTCCTTTATTCTACAATTATTTCTTCTAGTTTCAAATAGGAATGTGCCGGTTTCAGCTTGGATGGGACTAGTAGATGCAGAATGAAACCAGTTAGATTCATGGTCTCTCTCAATACTCTATGCCCTATTCAAACAATGTGATTTAATAGAATTTTGATTTGTCTTATAACATTATAATATCAAATTATTTGATTCCAACTTAGATATGCAACCAATCTGAACGTTTTAATTCAGGATTAATTCTAGTTCCTTTCACATATTTAGTAAAAAGAAACAAAATCAAACCGAAAAAGTTTTCCACACTTGAATATGTACCTTTATTTATAATGACATAAACGATTCTAATATTAAAGGGCATTGAAACATACTGCCAAAACAATAAACAATTCTCAGCAATGCCCGAATATGAATCCTAATCGTTTAATCTTAATTTGAGAATTTTGAATAAAAAAATGCTTACGTATTGAGCAGCATATAGAAGCCATTTGAAATGTTGAACGACAAGATATTTGAGTTGTACAGTCATTGAGATCAGATGAGCAAGAACCTGTATACTTATCTTGTTTCGACGTATTGAAGTGTCTGTACCAGCTGAAAAAGTTATTTACATCATTAATTAATTCTCATACAAATCTTCTACAAACAATGAAATGGACTTGTTCTAATCACTACGTTTTAAATCAGAGATTTACTTTGTAAAAATTGCGGGCTTATCTTTTGTCACATATTCTCATTAGAACAACGAATTCTTTTAAATGCATAATACAAATTATTGCGTTAGAATTACTATAAAGGAGTCCTCTTCAACATAATGTTTGAAATTATAATTATTGTTTTTCTTTATGCGAAACCTTAAAAGACAAAAATGAAATCAACACTAACCAATAATCTGATCTAAACATGTTCCAAATTGAATTTTAGTAACATTTCGAATAGAAAGATTCATTGTCTGGTTTTGCTTTATCGTAAATAATATTTGTAACGCCATCATCGAATCTGCCTGGTCAAAATCGTCATCTTCTCCTATTAAAATAAACGAAAATATTATTTTCTATGCATAGGATAGATTTAAATGTACATAATTCGACTTCTCACTCGAATCTTCCTTCACGAAATGAATTCTTTTAATTATAAATTCAAGAGAAAAAGTTCTTATGGAGTAAATGGAAAATAACCGAAAATATGGTTGCAATCAAAAGCGATTTACCTGAGTATATTTTCATAGAAGTAACATTAGAATTTACTTGTTGGAATTGTTGAAGAATAAAAGAAAGCGATGGATACAACTGGTACGGTCTGAGGCTCGTCGGTAACCATTTCAAAATATTTTGATATTTACTGAAAACAAATATATATTATTGAATTTAGAAATTTTTCAAACTCCCATAAAGAATAATATTTTACTAAGGGTGACGAGGGAATTTAGATGAATTTCCAAATTCAGAGAAAAGATGTTGAAATGATATTGTTGGATCATATAGACATTTTACATTGGTCCACTGACGATCAAGAAAAAACGGATGATTATTAAATGAATTTATTGTTGTTTCAATATCATCTGTTGATAATTCATATTGTGAACAGATATAAAAATTGAAATCAACTAAATTAATTATTTTATCAGGTAAACAATATTGACGGACAAAATTGGCATCAATGAAAGATTTCCATATATTGCTGGATTCTGTTTTTTGTCTTTCATAGTTCTTAAGATGAATTTCTAGTTTTTCAACATAATTCACATTATTCAATAACCATTTCAAATAAGTAAATTCTCTATTGTTATGGATCGATATGTTCAAACTAAAACATCGTAGCTTTGGTATCTAGAAAAGAAATTCCATTGTTGTATTTGCAAATTAAAAAAGATTCTTGTTTAGACAATTTATCAAAAGCAAACTCGATTTTTTTCTCTCTTACTTTATTAAACCAATTTTCATTTGATTGTTCCAATCTGTCAGGATTTGTTTCCCATAATGAATCAAAATCTAATGAAGAATGAAAATGAACGGACAATCGCTCAAGATTTGGTACACGTTCAATAAGATTTTCAAGAAGACATGTACATGCGATTCGAACGTCTAAATGCCGCAGAGTAAAACAACGATCCATTGAGCGATCATAGTGTGATGTTAAACAGTGATGAATGTCTTTGTTCAAAAAATGGTTATTAATATCAAGTTGAAGAGATTTTAGTTGACATTGACCAGAAAACAGGAGGCCAAAGAGTTGCTTCATCATACTCGTTTGTTTCTCTATTAAATGACAAACAAAAATAAAAGAAATTTAAAAACCATTCTTTTTCTTTTGTTTATTGAAAACCAAATTTCTTTATGACTTAGATTTAAAAAGCATAATACACTGACACTCATCATAGGTCGTTTTTTTAGAGTTATCATTCTATCAACCAATGACGTATTTATATATATTCTTAGTCACGTAATGAATTCAAGAAGAAACCCGCTGGAATCTATTGCAATTGGCCTAGGGCCTTATTAATAAATCTCGAATAGCTAAGTCTCGGTAGTTGCTCGAATTATAGCAAAGCTACTGTGTCTTCTCTGTATATTAAGAAGTTTCATTTCTCAATTCTTCAACAATGCTGAAGATAAATTCTACAACACAGCGATAAAACTTGTTTTGTTTTAAAGTGTGTAATATAACAAATAATTAATTACTTTCATCAATAACCAATGGCGAATCTTGTCTCACACAATCAGGTACCATGAAATTGTCTTCGGCAAAGTTTAATATAAGCTCATTCAGTTGACGTTCAATAAGATAAACTAAACTTTCAATCAATGGTTCCTTTAATCTACATTGAGTAAGTATAAGTGATTTGAGATTAGGAAAAATAATTTCTTTATCATTAAATAACCATTGATAAACGCAATCACGAACAATTGAATTTCTTTCATCAAAATGAATACGTTGAATACAAGATGAAAGACATGATGAATTCAGTAGCAATGGAAATAATGTTGAATACAACTTATTATAAGATGAACCTAATGTAAAAACAAGGCCAGTGTTCAGTGAATTACTATTTACTGAAAGAGTTGAGCAAACAAGAGAATTGAAACGGATATTTAAGGACCATAGCGATGTTAATAAATCAGTCCATGACAGATGAGAAAATATATAAAGAAGAATTTCATTTGATAATGTTTCTATTGTAGTTTGCGAAGTCATTTTATCTAAAAACAAAATTATTTGGTGATTTTCTTTTTTTCATTTTCAATCACTTTTAGTCGCCAATTTAAGTACTAATATTAGAAAAACTGAAAAAAACACACGTTGAAATACTTCATAGATATGATTCGAAGCCAAACCAGTTATTGTGTAAACGTATTCAAAGAGCAAGTTTTCCTATTAAAAGTAGAAGTTTATTGATATATGTTGTTGAACTCATTGGGAATCAACACTATTAAAATATAAAAATTCCATCGTATTTTCTAACGTATTAAGTATTTTGGTTATTTACGCATTGTTTTGTTTCATGCTTATAAGTTACAAAACATTGTTACATGCCAATGAATAAACAATTTGAGATACTTAGCAACGGAAAAAAATTAACCGAAGAATATTTAACTTAATTTAATGATATTTTAAGGAACACGTTTCGAAATTTCAAATATCTCGAAGGTTTTCTATTTTATGCCAAATCATCGCACGAAATGAACTGACATTAGAGTAGAAAACTAAAAGCCTTAATTCCTTAGTCCTCTTATGTTACAGAATATGATAAAAATTTCTCTCTACAATTAAAGACCATTCTTGTAATTATTGGAGATTCATAAAAATTTTATTACTGTTTCATGCGTGTAGATTAAAAACATTGTTAAATTGCAAGTTGAAAACATCGAGTTATAAAAAAAACTACAATCGTGAATGTCACAAATGCTTACAAAAGGCCGATATACGAAAAGAATCTGTCGGTTCCAACTTTAAAACTCGTTACTGAAAGCAATAGTGTAAAAGGATGCTGTAAAATTGAAATACATTCAAATGTGGAAGAGTATATTGTTATTTACAATTTGAAGAAAAAAGACTTCTCTTTTTTTTATAGACATTCAAACAAATTTCAATATTTTAATCATATTATAAGCGATTTCCATAAGAGCTAGACAAGAACAATTATCAGTAAGAGATATATGGATAATAATGCTTTTGCTGTTATGAAGATTGCTGAAATGCAGATAGATCTAATCTTTTTTTCTATGCATTCATAATTCTTTAGATTCCTCAATATAGAATGTAAGAAAAAAGAAACGTTTGGAACTAACCTTCAACTTTTGTCTTGAATTAGTGTTGTATTATATTATAATCAAATGATGATAGTTTTGCTCGTCAATATATGTAACAGAAAGAAAAATTCTTTTCTCTTTCCTTGCTCGAGTCAGACGAAGTCGATAAAAAATATTTCTTTTCGTTGATCACGAAAAGAAAAGTATTGAACGTCAATCCATCTCCATCGAATTCATTATGTATGCAAAGGTCAATATATATACATATTTTTTTTGCTATATACATAGAAGAGATAGGATACATATATATTGTAGGCGAAATTGGAATCCAGGCAGATTCTAAATCTGCCCGGGCATTTGTAGAGCAGTCAACAGAGCAAGGATAGGTGATACATAGTACATGTTTTTCAATAATGCTCATTATTGAAATTATCGAAGAAAATATCTCAATCAGTAAAATGATCTCTAATGACTTCCAAATCCAAAAACCCAATGGGAAAAATCAAAAATTCTATACTTGAAAAACGTTTTCTTCTTCAACAGCACATTTATTTATTCAAATTGAATTTACATCCTAATAAAATAAATCTTACTGCCATTACTTTCTTTAATAATATTTTCGTCCAGATTTCGATAGATATTAATTTCAATAAAAGTCATTATAACAAAAACAATCCGGATGAATTGCATCGCTTTCATGACCTTAACCTTTATACTAAATAAAAATGAATAGTTACAAGTATTGTAGTTCAACATCTTTGATTAAATGTAATCTTCATACTATATTCAGTTCTTACCAATTAATACTAGTCAAAGGAAATAAATACGAGTAATAGAACCTATTACCCATCGAACTTAACAAAAAGAAAATAATGAAATAAAAAAGAAATAGATGTAATAAAAATTTAAAAAAAAGACTATTTTAAACTTAGCTTTTTCGGATTCACATTATTCATGAACACATAAATGTATAAAATGATTAATTTACTCCACAATTAGATTTCACTTGAAAATCTCAATTGATAAATCGAAAGCTATACCGTCACAATAGATTATTTAACTATTGCAGAAATTAGTATGTTTATTTCAATTTAGTTGGATGTTGTGAATTTCTGCACATGAATAATAAAGTTCTTATTCTAATGACTACAAATTGAAAATTACTTGCTTGAAAATATACGTGTCTTTTAACTAAACAGGAAATATGATGCTTGGTTTATCCTAAGTTTCAATAGAAGATATTTAAAAATATCTAAAGATTCCAACTTCATCTTTTCAACTTTCGACGAGAAGTTTCTACATATAATCATCATGAAACGACTAATCTTTTGTGATTGTGAAAAAGCATCTTTTTTATTGTCTATCCATTTACTGATTTCTTCGCATTATAGCTAATAGTTCAGTAGTAAAATTAAAAAATATCTAATGGAGAAATTCTTTAGTTTTTGTTTCCAAGATAATTGACTATTACGAATAAAACGAGATGTTCCCTAAGACGAAATTTAACTTTCCCAAAATTCATGTGAATTCCACATCACACACCCGAAATACAACAAAAACTGAAGGATATTTTCTATTGGCACGTTTAGTTGGTATTCATAATGCTTCACTTTATTCAATTAATTTAGTTCCAAATGAAATTCCAGCTTGATCACTAATCACAGAATTATCATTTATATTATCTCATTCATACTTTTACTCTTAGAAATGGATGAAAGACGAAATTTTTTGGTTGATAATTTGGCGCCATTTAAGACAGAAGACACTGCACTCTATGAAACGTACCAATTCGTTCAGACTATCATTCGCATAACCTTGATTTGAATCAATTAGATGATTTTCAATACTATCATCAAGTTTAGCTTTTAGTTTTTTCATTAATCTTCTTCGAATTATTTCATCACACCCGGACAATGCAGATTACTTTAATCTTTCATGGTATTATCAATATCAAAATCACATATCCACTTTAGAAGATATTAAATATTTTCTCCCCATATATGTTTATCAACATCCGCTCCATTCATTAGCTCAATGGTGTTACCGCCATCTATAACAATCAGATGAACC